TTGTCCTGTCAAATATGGCGACGGGTGTGATGCTTCATCTATGAGCTGCAGATACTCAAATAATGTGCTCTTCAGTCACGTGATTATTTTTTCCATGAATGTCCGCGAGTTGAGGAAATTCCTGAATTAATCAAAGTAAACGGAAAATTATGAAGGATGGCATAACCTCTGGGTCTGAACTTATTCTTCACAGTCGATTAACCAATGTAGTAACAATGGTGCCACTGGACTAAGAGCGGGAATATGTCCACGATATTCCCTGCAGATGTAGTGCAATCTACATAGAAAAGCGAGTAATGCCATAGAGAGACACACGCGCAGACTTACGAGATGAAACAACGCTGACTTGAGCGGAAACGGCAATGTGCATCAAGGAAAAGGTAAGAGGAAAACGAAGGATCTGCCGGTTATCAAAGTGGAATGCAAAAATAATTCTGCGGTAGTGCAGCACTGTATGACTAAAAAAAATGAAACAGATTGGCAGTATGCCAATAGAATTTCTGCTGTAACGAACTATAGGTCAAGATTGATCAAAACAGCTCTGCGCATCCAAACTAGCACATGTCTGAACAACGACAGTGGCATGGATCTGAGCAATATCTGGATGTTAGTTATTAATAAAATTGTGATCATTAATTCATACCTCACCCACCGTAAACCTGAATTTTTTCTCGTCTTTGCGACTCTTGCAAGATCTGCTTTTGCCACTGTACCTTGACAATAGTACTAATACAATGATACAATCAAGTATTACCGAAAAAGTGGGTAATTTCCTCAATAAATAAAATCTATATGTGGTGCAATCGCGTTTCAAACATGAGAACTGAGATGTCGTTGTACAATTGTGGGCTTGCAGTATGCGGCGATAAAGGCGCATGGAGCGTTAAAGAAAATTCGCCACGGAAACTATGACTCTCCAAACTGTAGTAGAAAAACTATTGGTCAAATGCTCAGCGATTATTAAAGTTTTGACAACTAAATTATGCAAAAGACCATCCATCAATCTCGACGCTTGAATTGTCAAAATCAAGTAAATGCGGCGCAAAAGAAGGTTAATCAAAAATATGAATCCAGTCCTCATTCTCCTGAGTAAAGAGTGGCCTTTACTTTCGTTTACTTTTACTTTATTTGAACTTGAGGTCAAACCAATTCGAGCCATTGAAATTTTCTTTACAAACAATGAATCTGAAATGAAACGTGATTAGGTGAAAAAGGCAAGACCATTAGCAGGTAGATCACGGACACGGTTCAAAACTACTCAATTTAACTTGTGTTACCTGCCGCGAACTTATTCTTTTCGAAAGAATGAGTCGAATCAAATAGAAATATTCCTAAAATCAGACCTTGTTTTCCATTGTACTCAATCGGCGTGTTAGCCTCTTTGCTGCTTTACTCAAAGCCAACAGTGTTTCAAACGTCTACAAGTAGTCATTGGCACGTTAGTTTATCATTCGACGGTCCTTCAATGTGGCTAAGAAGGTGGGAAATGAATCAGATGATTGATCACTCCTTAACTCACTCCTCACTGTATTTACTTGTCGTTGCAAGCTCGGTGCTGTGCGCAGTGTTCGTCGTACTGCTTCTCTGCCTCCATCGCCCTCAACAGCACGTTCGATTGAGCATTCGGCCGCGCTACAGCACCGAAGACGTCGATTAGGCAGTTCTTAATCCTTTCCTGTTTTTCGCTTGAACAAAGAGATTCGTTCGTCGAAAATTCTCTAAGACCTTCTAGAGCATCCAACGCTTTCTGCTGATAAGTTTGTCTAAATTCAAAGACATATTTCACTGTATACAGTTCAAATTCTGAAAACGTTTTACTCTGTACGATCGTTGAGTATTTCATCGATTGCGGAAGAGTACTCCATGTTTTGACTCTGATCCACGAACAGTGGCTGGGCTACAAATACCGCAGCAGGATTGTGCTTTGCAAGGCATTTTTGTTGAAGCACGTTTGCTTTCTTCTCGAGGTCATCCAAACAAGGCCGTAGAACATTCAGCAGCGATTCTTTCATTGAACGATGTCGCTGCTTCATTATACATTTGTTGCTAAAACACGATAGATTACGAATGATCAGGAAGCACTGAACTTCTAGAAGTCACAACGTAAGCAGTATCGAATCTGTACACTAATCTAAACTCCCCGTGGCTATAAACGCCGATGATTTTTAATAACTATCAGTCATTTTCGATGGCCGCTTATCCTTTTGAATTGCATGAGCAACAGCATCTCCAGAGTTCTTAATCCTGTGCTAGCGCCTAAGGTTCGGCAGAAGATAACTCGAGTCTCAGGCAAAGTCCGGTGAGGCACTTGCTCTAGGTCATTCTTGTCCATCTCCTGCTCCTGGGTTTTTGGCCAGTCGGTTGAGAATTTGCAAAATGTGCGCAAATCATCACAGCGGCGACTTCTCGGTTCTGGCAAAGCAGCGGCAGTACACCAGGGATCTCCCTGATGTATGATCTCTGGCTTCTATCGAGATGGGACAGCTCAACGATTCGTCCAAAATCACTCAATGGCTCAATAACGACTTAGGAACGGTTAACCGACAAGTCTTCAACAATCTTCAACAACATTCTTCTATCTGTTAAATGCTGTCGCGATTCATGATGAACTTTAGTATCACGCTTACAGTAAGCAGCGGTGTCAAAATATTCATGAAAAAGAAGTCATGCATATGTTAGTATTTTTCTTTGTTGGTGCGGTCCTGAGATACTTTACTAAGACAAATGTAAATACACGATTCTGTTTCTTATCTGTGGTAATAACGTCAAAATTTGCAAGAAAACGTGGTAGTTTTCCAGCGGGTCAGAAAGGACGATGAGATACGTTAGATTTTGCCAGTCCGGTTGGTGAATGACTCTGAAGCACTTGCAACCGGAGAACTTTCCGCTGATCATCGCACTGTCCACTGACATAAAATCTCTCTTTTACACTGTACTGTCAGTGCCGTGTGCGTAATTTGAAACTTAGTCCATTTCATAATATATTGACACGTGATACTTTTCTTCGCGCTGAAAGACAAGTCCATTTATGGGCCTATTACAAGTAATAAATGTGACTGCTGGCTGATTGATTCGTGTTGATCGGTCGACGTATTGCCGGTTAACTGCAATTAATCATAATCGTTATGAATATCCATGGAAAGTACAAACGCGTATTTACATCCACAACAGAAGAATTTCCAAATACTCAACCATTAATAATTTCTATAATCAACCACTCTAGAAATAACGATCCCAGAAGTTCACTGATTTCATGCGTGATGACCGATTTTGGTCGATAAGAGTGTCAGATTGGTCTTCTGGCAAGGAACTGAAAGAGAACTGTTTAGGGAACGAAAGCGATCGATGGAAATGCCATCGTTACAGTGAGTAAATCCAATTTTATGCGTTATCTGGTGTCAATTCGTTAATGGTATGTCAGTAATGCTGATCCGGGGCGAAAACAGCGTTACTCGACTTGAAAATCACTCTCCACAGCCTCTTAGCATCTTCCCTTCAAACGCTTAGCGTAGACTTAACTGGGCAGGCTGAAGAAGGTGATGCAATGGTAATTACTGTGGTTTCTTGTACATTCATTCTTAAAGTGAATAACCACCACTTCAGTGTCTTTCCAAGCACCTAGCACGTGACTCAGTCAGGAAATGCTGCAATTAGGAACATGCATATCTTGGGTAGCACGCAGTTCTCTCAAACTGCTTTCTCATCTCTGAGGAATTCGATCGCTACTGTCATTATGTCTTTGCTGAACTAGCTGTCACCACAAACCTTTCCCGTTGAGTAGCGGCAGCATATGCATAGGCATAATTAGGAAAACTGAAATCGATAGAAGATGTTTTTTAAACAAGTTTTAACATTTCCGCCGGAAGCACTGACTGCCCCCGCAGTGTGGGATTTTCATCCGCGGTGACAGCAGGCATTATTTCAGAATAATTCTTTTACCGCCCGGTAATCGCAGTTCTTTTCCCTATCTGAAAGTTCCCTCCACTTGCCTCAGCGGTTTTTATAGTCTGTTTTGAAGTTCGCCCAGCCTCGTCGTGCAAATTGTACAAAGAAGATGGCTAGACCAAATAAACTCCTCAATTTCTTGAACCTCCCGATTTCACCATGCAATAAGTTTCTTACCGCTGTCGCTCACCGAAGACCTTCTCCCTCAGAGTTCCTTTTCCTTTAAGTAAAATGAACTTCTTCTGCCAGTTATCACACACCTCAGTGCTCCGTATCATCGCGCATTGCCACCGATTCCAGCTTTTCGCTACATCAGCTTCATAACTTTACTGCTGTGTTTGATTTCGTTCACAGTGAAGTGGGTAATTCAAAGCACGTCATCACC